CTCTTCCGATCTCCCCAAAACCCCAAAACCCCAAAACCCCAGTTAAAAAATGGCATCAGAATTATGCTTTGTGCACAAAATCAAAATAGGATTTCATCAATTAAGTTGACAATCAAATTTTCTTGAACTTTGGGATATTATTTAATGATATCTTTTAAGGTTGAGTTCCTTATTATTTCTATCACTTCTTTTGTTTTATCAGCTATTGTTTATGGAGTAGCTTGGAATATATATCCCTCTTTTGATAATTAATCAGCGAGTTCTGTCTGATGATTATGCATAAGTGTGTTATTTACAACAGCGATACAAATAGCATGATCAGATCTTAGACATTCAAGCAATATACCAGCTCCACAATGAGAAATCACCAAATCTGATTCATATATCAAAGTGTCAAGCACTATAAATTTCTCAATCTAGACCTTAATCTTCTCAGATTGTAATCTGCTTGGCACATACTCCCCTCTATAGTTTTATCTATAAATTCTGAATAAATTACGATCCCATTTAAATCAGTAAATGTGTAAAGCCTGCATCTTCTAACTGTTGGATGAACTGCTTGTTATCGATAGCGCTTATTAATTCATCGAAATTTGTGCTTCCAACTGCAATTAAGCACCTTTTAATTTTTTCCATTTTTAATATAAACTTAATCGATTAAAAATAATGTTGATCATTAATAGTTAAGCATGAATTATTAATTATTGTAATGATAAATTAGTAAGAATTCATAAAACTTGAATCAGACATCGAATATGCTTAAAGAGATCTTAGAAAGAGCAGATTAAAAAGCACGATCGGACTAGCTTTCCTCTTATTCATACTTAGTGGTGTGTTTTATTTCTACAGATATAAAGTAGAAAAAGGAATAATTTGTGAAGTTCTAGGATTTACATAAACACCAGCATAATTTCTCTAGGAAGAATCTAGAAATATGACTACAAGATTTAATCTGATATTTGATATTTATGCCTGGAGTTTTCTATTCTATGGGATAAGATTGCTACTTCTAGAGGGGTTTTTAAAAGATAAAGTTCATGTAGACCTAAAATACGATTTGATTCTTAAAGGACTATTTTTATTTCTGCTTAGTCTAAATTTCATTTTAATGAACTTTTTCCGATTTCAGCATGCTGGAAGGGTGTGTTCAGGTGAATACATTAAGTCAGACGAAGAAGACTACTCGTAGTACCTAGTCCATAAAGGTAGATTTATTTTTATTTTGATAATTTTACACTGGATTGTAATTTCAGTTTGTGCTCTGATGATTTCAGCCTTATACCTGAGATTGATATTGTGATAATATATTAATGATTAATGAATCAAATACTTGATTGTTCTCTTAATTTGCAGAGCGGGGTTTTGGGGTTTTGGGG